TTAGGCCATGTCTGCTAGGGAATCTGTGTCGTTTGCACACGGACATGTTCCCAAGCTGTTGCTTCAAAGAGTGAAATCAGGTAATTTTGGGTGTCGCACTCGGTGGCTCCGAACGAAAATAAAACGATAACCCAACGATAACAAAAAATCATAAATGTAGTGAACTTCGACCCAAGGCACATTCTCTTCATTTTCGCTATCACTGCCATATGCAGGCCACCGAGGCTTCCGCTTTGCAGCGCGCTGCGCTCAATGACGCCCAGTGGGGCAGCGAAGTCTGCGCGAGACTTCGTGCCGTCAAGCCGGGGCAAGCAAAACATGCGAAAGTGACATCTGAGCAGGGCCGACACCTGTTCAATATCATCAAAGGTCAGTTTTGGCGTCGCCTTTCGGAAGAAGAGAAGGCACACGCAGTGGCGAACGACCTCGTGCCGAACTTTGCGAAGCTTCTAGAGGAAGGGCTTGGGAACATCAGAAGTTTTTGTTCCGTTATTCTGTATATTCTGGCAAAGCAACCCTTTAAGATTAGGTGTACGTTGAACAATTCGTTGCTCTTCGTGTCTTTGTTTGAATGCAAAAGGCTCTTGGCAGTGCACCTGAAGTCGTTACTGCAGCCACGACTGCAGCTTCTTGCTCCGCAAGAAGCCCTAAGCGAGTTGCCAAAAGACCGGACAGTGCTGCAGGAAGGCCACTTCAGAAAAAACGCAGAACAGCTGCGGAGAGCTCAGACACACAGACGACAGCACCCGCGCAGCCGGCGAAGCAGCAGCGCGTGCCAGAGACAGTGCAACCAGAAACCGTTGGCGTGGCGACTCTAAGCAGAAAAGCCACGTTGGCGCCCAAACGGAAGCAGAGACCTGGCTTTGGGCGCAAGGACAGGGCAACAAGCCAGCTCGCAACTTGGCACTCGCAGATATAGAATGTTTAAGACTTACAGGCGCATGCTGTGTACATAACGAAATTCGAATTTTGGAACAGCCGCAACTTGTGCCTCAGGTGAAGCACATCCAGCACTGGTGCGACACTGGTGGTCAAGCAGCTTCCATGCTGCGCCGAGTTGCGAGCCGGCTCGAACACACCTGGCCTGGGCTCAAAGCAGACGTCTTAAAGGACGAGCCTGGTGAAAGCCTGCTCGTGCGATGTCTGGGGCAAGTCAGACAACAGGCTTGCAACGAGGGCAGGCAGAGCATCTCCTTGCAGGACTTGGACAGGGCCGTCTCCGTCGATGGCAGTCGTGCAAGGCAGTACTTGGCAAAGAACGGGTACTGCATTGGGAAGCTTGCATGGCAGAGTTTGCGCGCAGCACATCTCAGAGAGCAGCAGGGCGAGCAAGTTCCCGAACGCAGAAAAAGAGGCGGGCGGGTGAAACCTTTCAGAAACTCCCGAGACATCGAACCCTCTCCCTTTGAGGCCGGCCGTCGAAAATGACGGAGGATGTCCTCGCCGTGGCCAAAGAAGCACTCGATGAGCATGCCAAGCCAGCAAGCATGCCAGCACATGTTACACGTCATGCCGATGGCTACTGCGGACCCCCTAAGTCCAGAGGATCGCGTGAACATATGGAGGTGGTGTTAGGTCAGTCTTTGTTGGCCAGACCGACACAGATCTACAACGAACACCCGCAGCTACAGGCCAGAATTAGCCTGTCCACATTCCGGAAAGTCATGAAGGAGAAGTTTGCAGAGTATCGTCAGGGCCACCGAGACACCGACGTATGCAGTCATTGCATGACTTTCGCGCAGCAGTGTGTCCCCAACTTTCATCGCGACTGGGCCAAAATACAATCAGACCTTGAAGCAGCGTACCCTGGGTATTTCAGCAAATTCCCACGAAACAAGCAGTTCGCGGATGCGGCCGAGGAGGCTGACACCGCTCTGAAATACATCGCAACGCACCAAGAGAAGTTCAGGGATGAGCGGGCACGGAGTGGAAAAGACCTGCTCCAGCTCGCCTCCTTCATCGAGGCACCCGCGGAGGCAACCTTGCGGGGACATCGCGCCTTGCTCCGGGCCTACATGTGGCACAAGCTTTCAGCCCGACGCCAGCATGCATCGCTCGAAAGTTTAATGACAGCGAGTGGACTTCCGCTTGAAGATTGCTTGATAATCGCAGACTATCGGGAGAAATTGAGGCTCCCTTTCGCACCAATCGAAAGTGGTGCAATGTGGCACGCGCAACAGAAATGGGCCATTACATGTTTAGGGCTTGTCCTGATCAGGCATTCTGCCAAGTCAACTGCTGCGAACCCTTGCTTGGAGCGGGTCTATGCTATGTACTTGACAGAGGTGAGGGAGCAAGTGGCTGAGACATCCAACAAGCTTTTGTCGGAGTTCATGGCTGAATGCAACGTCAGCAGACAAGGCGCCATCCACATTTTCACAGATTGCGGACCCCATTTCAGAGCCAGTGAGTGTCTACATCACATGATGTACGAGGTGTCGGCAGCAAGACGACAAACAGTGAATCTTTCCTTCCTGGCGGAGCAGCACGGCAAATCCATCATCGACTCCCTCTTTGGCGTCACGGGCCTCAAGGGGGGCTGGCTGGGCGACTGGGCTCGCACAAAACCCGTTTACTCAGTGTCCGACTTGGAGCGGGCGCTTCAGTGGGGAGCCGCCCGAGCGGTCAAAGCCGACCCGGCAGGGCCTAGGTGGATCTGCAGGACTGTCAACCTCGGCACCCATCGCGGCCAGATCGCGCACTTCGTGCAGTCAGCAGAGATGAAGCTGACCAGGACGTATTGCCTGACGATCAAGCCGCCGGCGACAGGGCGACAGAACCCGATTCTTTACAACCGGGTCTTCACGGACAATGCTCGCCTGGGCGAAAGCTTGTCCTACGTCGTCTCCACCGAGGACCGCAGCGACACCAGATGGAAGCTGTCCTACTTCGCTGGCGAGCGCAACTGGGATTCTAATGCTCCTGAACCAGGCGATGAGACCACGCTCACCAGGAAGTACGATGACCAGCATGCTTTCGTGCCGCCGAGACCCATCAAGGCTCTTCGGACCTTCGAAGAGAGAGTCGCTGCAAAGATGCGACGAGCCCAGAAAGGGCGCATGCGCGAGGCCCGCAAGAGAGCTGCTGCCCAAGGCAGCAGCTCTTCCTCCAGCAGTAGCAGCAGCAGCAGCAGCAGCGGTGGTGCCTGAACAAACAACGCATCGCAGTCTTGAGTTGAGGTGCCCAAAGACCTGTATCCCGCAGTCCTCGCAAACTTAGATGTGCACTCTCTACTGCAACAAGGTCGACTTTCTACCTGTCCTAAATCTTAGGTTGCCAAACTCATGTAAAACGATAAGAGTAGG